TTGACCGTTTTAGTTCAGTATTCGCAAATTTTCCAGCAGTACTTTTTAAACTTTTCTTACCTACTAAAGGACTGAATTCTTTTTTCCTATCATTTCATGACCTCCTTCCTTGAAATTTTTCCGGGCACTTAACAAAGTCATTATAGTAACACTGTAAAAAGTATGCGTAAAAATTGAAATTACTCTCACATTTTGGCTAAAATCTCGGCTGAAAATAGAAACTAAATCATGAAATTGTAAACGCCAACAGTTAAGACCTTGACAAACAATGAACAAGTTACTAGAACTTTGTCATACTTTTACAGAGTTCACTCCGGATATCCCCGCATTACACAGTGGCATTCTGCCAAGACCGCTGTAACTTCTCCAAGATGAGGTATTTCCGCTCCCAAAAAATTCCACACCAAACTAGAAATGAACTCCTCTATATATAATTGTTTTCATTTTGGTCTTTTTGTTTTGGTAATCCCGAGGTTGTTTTGTGAAAACGGGCATAATTTTTGAGAATCTATATGGTTCTAGAAACTTAAGTAAAACTGGTGCTATTGCAGCAAAGCATGCCTATTTCCAAACACGCTTTTTTTGCTGTCAACCTACCCTTATTTTGTTGCAAAGGTTTCCCGGCCTGTCTGATTCATTTTTTGACAACTTCACATTTGTCTATGTGTTTCTTGCTAACTTCCTAACATTCTAGCGCTATCATTTCGACTTAACTCTTATAGCATTTGCAAGACTGGATTGTCGATGACGAGTAGTGTGAAGGGTTGCGTTCGGTTTTTGTAACCGCAATCCGAGGGACCTAGAAGGTTCAAACTCACCTCCATACACCACTCTTTCGCATAGTTTTCAGGTCTTCCGAACATTCCCTGTTCTACCCAAAAATTTCTGCGTGATTACATGGTTAACATCGAAAGGCTGATAACGATAGTAGCGTGTAAAGGGAAATCCAAAGGGACAGTTAAGAGTGAATTGGGTCTTAAACCGCAGTAAGCCTCTTATCCCATTATGGGCCCGCCACAACCCACACGAGTACGCCAAAAAACACGTAAACGACCGTGCTGCGACGGCACTTTTTTTTTTTTTTTTCAAAAAAACTCATTAGTTTCTACCACCGCTTGCAAACTCTTTATTGCTTGAGCCGGTTTTGTCATAGTAACAGTGCTATTATAATTGCTGTTATAGTAAAAAAATCAAAAACAGGTTGGTAACTTACACCGATCGTTGCCTGATAATCTGGTAGCCAACTGATGGGTATAGCCTTGCAAAATTACTTCTGTCGGCTGCAAAAAAGTGAAGCGAATCTTATTTTTTTACCAATTTTTGAAGCTTCTTTGGGAACAAAAGGTGAGCGCCGAAGTACTTTAGAAAAATGTGATTTAAAAAAAAAAATCAAATCTTTACGTAGCGCTGCGGAGGAGCAAAATATCTACTTCCTGTTGCCATCTCGGCACTCGGAGATCCGCCTAAACCCATCACCACTGATGCCGATTTATCAGCATCGAATTTCCACGCTTCTTACGATACCATTCACTGGTCAGAAAAGCTTGCTTACGTGCAAATTCAAAGCGGATGCACTGTCATGAAATATGCACTAAAAACCGTTTGTATTCGTATTCCCGAGTTTTTTGGGAGTAGCTGCCCATTGGGCTACTTCATCTGGATTGACCAGTTGATCCAAATGAGCCATTTTTGAAGGCAACTAGCAGACTTGAGAACTTCTTTAAACGGAAGTTGTAGAATTATTTTTAGACGGAGTAGTGGGACTTCGCTTAGAGTTACAACAGCAGAACTACTGCAGGACAGCAGAGCGGAACTTCCACTCAAATCGACCCAACGCTGTATTATAAAGAAACATAGCATCTAACATTATATGACGAGCCGACACAAAGGCGGTGTTATGGACTGTCATAAGCATTAAGGAGAACTTTAACATTAGGCCGCTTAGCCGCAGTTGTGTTGGAATTTGGGTTACGCAGCTTCATCTGAAAGTTCCGCTGCCTGTATTGCTCCAAAATTCCTTCCACATTTTTATTTTCAAATGTTACAATAAGAATTCACAACTGTTCAGTGATTGTTACTCGCTTAGGCCCCGAAATTGCCCTTGGAATTCGTCAGTGGTGTCGCCAAACGCTTGATTTCCGTCTATTTTCGACTATATCTTTTAGGTGCACCGCATGCGTAGTGACCTTTCTGAAACGCATTTACTAGACTGAAGTGGCTTCATACTTTTTAACTTGGGTTGGATTCGTTACTAGTCATTTGTACCAATCAACAGATGTTAGAAAACGAGGTTTTTTTTCCAATTTTTTTCCAAGCTGTAGAAAGCTTACTTTGCATTTGCATGTAATATAGTCGTCAAGCTTCCATTCTTCGCCTTCATTTCTAACTACTCCGTTAAGCTCGCACTTTTCACTTAGTATTCGCTTGTTAGCACCGCGCTTCCTAGAAATCAGCCTTTAAGATGCATAAGGAATCTATCATCAATTACTTTTTTTTGGAGCACTTTTCACAATGACCAGAATCACTGAAAATTGCCCCTCTGTCGTACTTTCTTCTGACGTTGGCCTCGTTATTGGCTGAGCACGTCTTCTCACAGCACGACTGCCACACGTTCAGATTTATTTGTGGAATATTTGAACATTTTTCGTAAAAGTTGGGCTGACGATCACCAATGTACTCGAAGACGTCTCTCTGTAGGAATTAATAGTTTTTTATGGTGAATTCGAAGTATATCTTATCAAAAACGTGAGGTGCAGTATAATCGAAATAGAGATGTTAAATTACACTGTCCGATGTTCTCATTCGGGAGTAGTAAATGCTAGAGAAAAGAACCTACCTGAACGCGGTCAATATCATCCCCGCTGTTGCAAAGGACTGCAGAAAGTGAAGCTTTTCTAATCTGCTGTAGTTGAAGTTTGGTGAAGACACCATCGTTTTCATACCTTTGGTTAAATTCAGTTTTTACCAGTGCCACAAGTTTTTGAGGACCTCTTAGTTTTAAAGAGATAGTGAAACTACATCAATTTTTGCACAAATTTGAAATTTCACGTTTTACAAGCTCGACAGATATGAGGATTACAGGAGTGACTTGTTTTAGTTTTTTACCTAATGCCGATGACATTTCAGGCTTTATGCTTACCAAAATCTGTCGCCTGTTCGTAGCCGTCTGAATTGGTCACTAATAATGCAAGCAATAGTTGGTCCTACCAGGGCTCCCGCTAGTCTTCTTTCAGATATCGCTCCAACCCAGAGATCAATGTTACCTTAATTTTGATTGTTTTCTAATTTTGCTTAACGAATAAACTCTTTGACAGGAATTTTGCAATATGCCGACATTAAAGATAAATTAAAGAACAGTGGTAGTTTGGTAGGACGGCAGCGCTCTGTTGATGTGAGCATCGCAGGTATGATCCTTTAATGAAGCTAAATCGTGGAAGGTCATATTCTCACCTGGATGTCCGTAAAGTTCTTGTAGTTTTGTTCTCGCAGTGGTATCTGGAATATCGA